CCTACCTAACAATAAGGGGCAGGGCTGCCGCGGAGTTGAGGCGGAGCGGGCCGTGAAGGCCTTCGTCAGCAGGCTGCGACCCAGGCTCGAAGGGGTCGCTGGAGAAGACGCCAGACCGTCCTCCTCCTCCTCTCCTCCTCCTCCTCCTCCTCCTCCCTCCTCCTTCCTCCTCCTCCCCTCCCCCTCCTCCTCCTCCTCCTCCCTCCTCCTCCTCTCTCCTCCTCCTCCTCCTCCTCCTTCCTCCTCCTCCTCCTCCTCCTCCTTCCTCCTCCCTCCTTCTCCGCCTCCTCCTCCCCTCCCCCCATCCTCGTCCTCCTCCTCCTCCTCCTTCTCCTCCTCCTCCCTATTCCTCCTCCTCCGCTCCCCCCATCCTCCTCATCTTCCTCCTTCTCCGCCTTTTTCTCCTCCGCCATTTTTCTCCTTTTTCTCCCCCTTCGCCTCCGAGCGGGCGGGGGGGGGCAAACTCAGGCCGTGAAGGCCTTCGCCGGCAGGCTGCGGGCCCAGGCGCAAAGGAGTCGCGGGAGGAGGGGCGCAAGACTGTCCAGGAAAATCGGGCGGGGGGTACTGAGGGGTGGGGCGCAGAAAAGGGCCCCTTCTGCCGCCCGAGAAGAGGAGCGGCAGGCCGGCGTGCAGGCCGAGCACGAGCAAGCTCGTGAAGCGTCCGCAGGCGTGCTCGCACCGCCCAGGAGCGGAAGTGCCCGACCACGACCAGCAGGTTCACACCGGGGCGGATCAGAGATCCACCGAGCAGGCGCAAGGGGTCCATTTTGAGCAGCCAGGCTGGGGCGCAATGCAACCATCAAAGGGGGGCTGCGTGGTGGCCCAGGTCTGTCGCTGGTGGTCGGGTGGCCGAGGGCCGGAAGAGGGAGGCAGCATGGTGACCTGGATTGGCTGCAGGTGGGCTGCAGGCGGGGCCAGCACGGCAGCACGTGGCGCGCCCCGACCCTGAGATTCTGGGGGCTCATTTTTTCGAGCCGGACGTTTTTATTTTTTGCGTTGAGCGGACATTGAGTGCTGTGCTTGATACGTCCTTCCTCCTCGTCCTCATCCTCCTCCTTCTCCTCCTCCTCCTCCTCCTCCTCGTACTTCTCCTCGTACTCCTCCTCGCCCTCCTCCTCCTCCTCCTCCTCCTCCTCTTCCTCCTCCTCCCCCTCCTCCTTCCCCTCCTCCTCCCCCTCCTCCTCGTCCTTCCCCTCCTCCTCCCCATCCTGCTCGTCCTTGGCGCAAGGGGGCCGCGCTGCAAAAATCCGCCTCTCTTCCTCGCGTCTCTCCTCGCCCACCACTCTGATATGCTGGCTTGGGGCAGGAGCCGAGGCGACGCTGCTGCTCACAGGCCGCGAGCGACTTCGAGTCGAATCGGGAGTCCTCTCGCTCTACCCTTCGATGCGAAAACCGCCCCGCGAGGAGGCGATATAATGCTCCACGAAACACGCCGTGAGAAGAAGCACGACGTCGGAGCTATGTGTCCTGTCACTCCACCGAGGTGGGACGGGTAAGGGGAGCACAAGGAATGCGATGAGAGGATTATGAGGAGGAGGTCGCAGCGGGTGGGAGGAGGATGCTGCGGAGTACTACTGTGGTGGAGGAGGATGAGGACAAACTCGGCATTTTTCACTCTCTGCCTTCTGCTCCGGCTTCTGATGCTGGTCTTGCTGTCGTCGCTGTTATCGTCCTCCTCTGCATTTCCACGTCACTCTGGCGCAGTGTGACGCTATCCTCCCTCCCTCTCCTGTGTTCTTTCTCATGTTGCCGCGGGACCCACATCGAACACCGACGTGCGAAAATTGCGTCCTCCTCCTCCTCCTCCTCCTCCTCCTCCTCCTCCTCTTTGCAGTCGGCCCACGCCGCGTTGACGCGGCGGTGACGCCAGAGAGGGGGATCAAGCTTGGATTCCACCAGTTGCCTGAGCTCGCCCAGCCAGTGAATGGCCTCCACCAGCGGGGAGCGCCGGTCGTTGAAGGCCGAGCGATCCACGAAGTGTCTGAAACCAGCGCCCACGTCATGAACGTACCCTCCTCCTCCTCCTCCTCCTCCTCCTCCTCCTCGTCCTCCTCCTCCTCCTCCTCCTCCTCCTCCCTCCTCCTCTCCTCCTCCTCCTCCTCCTCCCCCCTTCAAAGCCCTCCCCATGTCCCCCCCCCCCCCTCCGCGTCACCGCCGTGGACGTCACCCTGGTGGTCGTCGTCGCCTCCCTCGTCTTCGCCGCCGCTGCCGCGGCCGCCCTCGCCGCCGCCGCCGCCGTCGTCAGCGGCCTGCTTGTCGCGGTGGCGGCCGCCCTCGTGGCCACCCGTCGCCCCTCGCCGCCGCACCCTTCGCCCCTCGCCGCCGCCACGCGCCCAGGCGAGGCGCAGCCCACGTGGGCGTGGCAGATGGGCGGGGTGGCGCACGGACTGCCGCGCGGCCGATCCCCTGCGGCGCCCATGTCGGTGGTCCTCGTCCTCCCACGCTTTCTCGAGAGGAGGACCTCGGGGCCCTAGAGACCACGACAAGGACTGCAGTTTTCTTTCTCGGGGGCAGCTCTGTCCTGGTCTGCCCACGTTCCCGCTGATGCGGGGCCTGAAGGTTCGAGAATCGAGGACTGCTTGTTTTTGTCCCCAGTCCTCCAGCGCTCGTTGAGTTGCTCGTTTGAGGTTGGGTGCTCGTTCGCCAGCTTCGAAGATGTTGGGTGTCCGTTTGGGGTCCGCAGCGCCCCGCCCCGCCTCCCCTCACCTCCGTCCTCCCTCCCCTTTTCCCTCTTCTTGCACATCCCTCGCGCGCGTCGTGGCCACATAATGAGGGAGCTCCCTCTGAAGTGAGGGGCACGCCCTGCGCCGCAGGCAGCTTTCTTGGGTGGGGCCCTTCCCCCGGCTAGTTGTTGTCAGCTTTTGTGTTGGGCCTGTGTTGGGCTTCCGGAGTCGGGGGGCCGCATCGGGGGCCTTCTTGGGGGCCTCCTGGGGACCTCTCTGGTGACGCCCTGGAGACCACAAAGCTGATAATTCGAAGCCCATGTGAAGTGGTAGTGCCTTCCATTTGAAGTTACGACCCCTGACCGTGTTCCTTGGGCCTTTGATCAAGTGATGCTAAACGCCTCAGTGGTGGGTGGCCTGGTAGCACCCCGTAGTTGCGGAAATACAATGGAGACCCATGCCAAGAAAAAAAACCCTGCCTGCCTCCAGGGTGCCCTGGGTTTCTTGGGTTTGGATGGTTTTGCCATGGGAAACGTGGCGTTCCCCTCAAAAACCAATGGACGTCCTGGGGTCGCAGGGACGGGTTTCTCGTGGAAGGTTTCTTGCGGACTGGCCTCCACTGTACCAAGGCCTGGGGCCTTCACATAATGTTCACGCTGCGCAACATTGAGATCTCCGGGCGGGAGCCAGGGAACTGAGAACGCTGCACGTGGTGACTCGCAGCAAATTCGCTGCACCTGGTTTCGATGATAAGGCAGATTGACCTACAGATCCCCGTAGCGGCGGTTGGGATGCTACTTCTGCTGCTTATCCAGACAGCAAGTCGAGCATGAATGTGCGTTCGGCACCACGGGGTGGGGCCAAAATTGACAGCAGCACCGAAGACATCACAATCTTCTTCGGCAAGCGCGCCATGGACGCGTACAAGCTGCATGTGTTTGTGACTCGAGTCAAGCAGTTGCTTGCTTTTGTCGGCACGCGTGTTATCGAACGATTTGAGGGTAGAACTATTCTATAGACGTCTGGATCGGCAATGGGACGGGGAGCGCCAGTATACACAATAGGGTTCTCCCGATGCTGGAAAGCTGCCTTGCATCTCTACGGTCCCGTTCAGGAATGTAACGTGGTTTCGAGCGATCGACTGCGAAACTCATGACTTGCATGCAGTCGGATCTGTGAAGATTGGCCCGAATATTGGACACCAACCGCTTCCCACAGCCCCGAGCCCTTCTTCACTTGGAATATGTTCATCGCGCAGATGTCGTCGCTGTAGTGGCTTCCCCCGCCCCATCGGATCGCCATAGAAGGTGTGACATCCTCAGTGCATCCTCGAAGGGGAAGGCCCCGGAACTCACGCGCGCGTGGTTTAGGAATTCTGAGTGCCGTCGCACAAGAATGACACCGTTGTCTGGAGGGAACGCAACCTCTAGAAGGCATCAAGTTGTCCTTTCCCGCCTTCCCGAGCGCCATCTACCTCGGACAGTCGACAGAGTTCCGCGGACATTCCTCCAATTCCGCCCCCCCCCCCCCCCGCAGCCGGAACACACCGCCAGGATATGACATGTGGTCGCAGCATCAAGCCTATGCTGGCTATATGCCGCCGACGGCAGACGCTGCCACGTCATCGCGACACGGAGATGGGGGAGGGGAATAAGGGAGCAGCATAAGCAAGACATGAGCGTGAGTGTAGAGGCGTACAGAGCACACCCTCTTTGCACACGTTTACTCTTTGGCGGTTTGCGCGGCGGCATTGTGTAGAGCAGCGCGGTGGCGACGGAGGAGGAGGAGAAAGAGGTGGAGGAGGAGGGGGGGAGGAGGATGAGGAGGAGGAGGAGGAGGAGGAGGAGGAGGGGAGGGAGAGGCAGAGGAGGCCGAGGAGCAGCAAGAGCAGGAGGAGAAGGAGAAGTGGCGGAGGACGACCAGCAGAGGCCATCTGCACACCACCCCCCTGCCTGACCGCGGCACTCCCGGGCCCCATAGGATGGTGCGCAGACCCTCCTGGGCCTCGGCCAGCAGGGCGTGCACACCATGCCAGGGGCCCACGACGGACAGCCCTGTCCAGGCGCGGCGTCGGTCTCGCGGGGGCCCTCCGCGCAGAGGAGGGCGGGCAAAGGGAGGAGGAGCTGCCAGTGCGGACCCAGACATGCAGCGGCTCGGTTTTCCGAGGCATAGGGCCCCAGGTCTCGACCATCTCCAGGGGCCAGTGCTTCATCCCGGGCCGTGTTTTGACGGCCAGGCGGCCCGAAGCTGGCTGCCGAAGGCCCAGCATGGAGAACAGCTTGCCGTATGGACTGTCCAAGCTGCCAGTCTGGGCAGATGTGCCTTCCGCGCAGGCAGATGAGGCCGATGCGGAAGCAGGCGGGCGCGGGCGAGAATGAGAAGGAGGAGGAGGAGCAGGAGGAGGAGAAGAGAGGGGGTGATGATGAGGAGGAGGAGGAGGAGGAGGAGGAGGAGGAGGAGGAGGAGGGGGAGGAGGAGAAGGAGGAGGAGAAGGAGGAGGAGGAGGAGGAGGAGCAGGAGCAGGAGCAGGAGCAGGAGCAGGAGGAGGAGGAGGAGCAGGAGGAGAAGAGGAAGAGGAAGAGGAAGAGGAAGAGGAGGAGGAAGAGGAGAAGGAGAAAGAGGAGGAGGAGGAGGACTTTTTGGGGGGGGGCTGTCGTCTGTGCCACAGGTGAACTTCCGCCCTCCATCGGGTATTGAGGGCCACGCCCCTGGCGCTGTTTGATAGTCTGGACCTCCGACCGGCACGCCTGGACGCCGGTGGCCCCCCCAAATTTGACGGCTCCTGGGGCCGCGGAGACCTGGACATGCGACGTCCAATGCGGTGCCCCCATGGAGTTCCGACCCTTCCCAAGGGACCGGCTTCTCCTCTTGAGTCGGTCCCGGGGCCTAGCGAGGGCCCCCGTGACGCCGCAAACGGCCGAACACCTCTCGTCGTCATTCCCTTCTGCGACGAGAGCATGTCTGGGGATTCAGCAGGAGGAGGAAGAGGGGAGAGGAGGAGGAGGAGGAGGAGGAGGAGGAGGAGGAGGAGGAGGAGGAGGAGGAGGAGGAGGAGGAGGAGGAGAGGAGGAGGAGGAGGAGGAGGAGCAGGAGCAGGAGCAGGAGCAGGAGCAGGAGGAGGAGGAGGAGCAGGAGGAGCAGGAGGAGCAGGAGGAGCAGGAGGAGGGAGGGGCAAGGGAGGAGGGGATGCTGGTGCGGGAGGAGCGCCCCCCGGGTCCGCCCAGGATGTGGGGGCCGAGGCCCGCGGCAGTCCTACGCCCCTGTCGGCGCGGCGGCGCCCTCCGACAGCCGGGAGGCGACCGGGCGCGGACCCAGATAACCGGCGTCGTCGTCGTTGTCGTTGTCGTTGAACATTATTACTTCTAAAGAATAATTATTGTTGGGACCCCTGGTGCGCGGCCCCCCCGCCGCGCCTAGGCCGCAGCCACATTTTCATCATTTTCGTGAGGAAGTCTCAGGCAAAACGGGTTGGTCCGGATCCGGTTGTTTTGTTACGGCCCGCTTTCCCTTGCAAAAAATAAGCTAAAGTGGACATTTCTTGTTCTAACATAACCAAACTTCAAGAATCCCTTGCAAAAAATAAGGTAAAGTGGACATTCGCGCGCGCAAGACGAAATCCTTCCAAAACCTTAGTTTTCGTAGCGATTTTAACATAAAAACATCAAAAAACCAATGGTTTTTCAAAAAAAAATGTCAAAATTTCATCCCGCGCGCTCTTGCGGATTCGTAGGAAACCCAACACTTTTTAAACATTTCTGTCAAACGGGCTTTTGCGAGCAACTTTTTCGAACTTCTGCAACAACGGTTGCGCACCTGCCAGGGCCATCATCCCTGTCAAATAATACCATGCGGGACACATTCGTTTTTTCTTCGCGCGCGCACGCCGTCGTCGTCGGCCGCGGGGCCCTGAATAGTAGCCACGGTCGTCCGCATGCCACGAAGTGAAGTGTCCGAACGTCATAGGGCGGGAAGCTGGGTGTGGGTGGTGGCGAAGAGTCGTTTGGAAATTTGGTAGAGCTTGAACCGGCCCCCCCACAAAGTGGGGGTATTGCCCGCCTCCTATGAAAACCCTGGCACTGGTGAGAACGGAGTGTCCCCACGTGCTAGTAATTGTTGTTGTTGTTGTTGTTGTTGTTGTTGTTGTTGTTGTTGTTGTTGTTGTTGTTGTTGTTGTTGTTGTTGTTGTTGAACATTATTTACTTCTAAAGAATAATTATTGTTGGGCCCCCTGGTGCACGCCCCCCCGCGCCGCCTAGGCCGCAGCCACATTTTCATCATTTTCGTGAGGAAGTCTCAGGCAAAACGAGGGTGTGTCCGGATCCGGTTGTTTTGTTGACGCCCGCTTTCCCTTGCAAAAAACAATAGAAAATGGCATTTCTTGTTCTAACATAACAAACTTCAAGAATCCCTTGCAAAAAATAAGGTAAAGTGGACATTCGCGCGCGCAAGACGAAATCCTTCCAAAACCTTAGTGTTCGTAGCGATTTTAACATAAAAACATCAAAAAACCAATGGTTTTTCAAAAAAATGTCAAAATTTCATCCCGCGCGCTCTTGCGGATTCGTAGGAAACCCAACACTTTTTAAACATTTCTGTCAAACGGGCTTTTGCGAGCAACTTTTTCGAACTTCTGCAACAACGGTTGCGCACCTGCCAGGGCCATCATCCCTGTCAAATAATACCATGCGGGACACATTCGTTTTTTCTTCGCGCGCGCACGCCGTCGTCGTCGGCCGCGGGGCCCTGAATAGTAGCCACGGTCGTCCGCATGCCACGAAGTGAAGTGTCCGAACGTCATAGGGCGGGAAGCTGGGTGTGGGTGGTGGCGAAGAGTCGTTTGGAAATTTGGTAGAGCTTGAACCGGCCCCCCCACAAAGTGGGGGTATTGCCCGCCTCCAATGAAAACCCTGGCACTGGTGAGAACGGTGTGTCCCCACGTGCTAGTAATTGTTGTTGTTGTTGTTGTTGTTGTTGTTGTCGATGCCGACGTGTTTTTGTTACTGCTTCGATCTCGTGCGCGCTAGCCGAGACACGCAACAGCATCCGGATGGGGACCCAGACCTCTGGCGTCGTGGCTTTTGTGGTCGGTGCCAGCGCGGTTCTCGTCTTCGTGCCTCTTGCACGTTGGCCGAGGCATGCGACGGTTCGGGCAGTTCACGCCAGAGGTATCTCGTCTTTTGCGCTCTCCGGTGGCCCTCGCCGGGCCCTGGGACCCTCAACAAGCGGTTCGGGTTGAGAGTCAGGGGCGCAAAAGAGGGTCGCCGAACGCATTCCTTTACTCGCAAAGTGCCTACTCGCAAATGTCTGACAAACACGTGTTCGCCTCGATGTAAAGGCTCGTACGAATCTCCTCGGCGGATCCAGGCCATTTGCGAGCATTTACTTTGCGAGTAGTGGAACGCGCTCGTCTAGAGGGGGGTGATGCCTGGAAGGGGGTGGATATCATGGCTAAGGCCATGATGTCTCCCCAGATTTCATGGCCCCTCTTCTTATTTCAATGTGTCCCTTTGCCACTCCCTCGTCCGCGCACATGTTTCAGGCCACGATTTGCCGACCCCCGTCTTGGATGCACCCCTCTTGGACGCCCCCGAGAGAGTCTGGCTCTGGGGAACGGGTCGGGACTAATGGGGCACCGTGCAGTGGGGGCGTTAGTTAAGGAATGTGTCCAGAAGATTCCTTATCTAATGAGGGTGGCGGTGACATCCATGGCCACTCCACGATGGGAGTTTCACCGGCCTCCAGACCATGCATTCTTTACCCAACGATTATTTATCTAATGGTTTCTTATCCAATTGCTTCGTATCGAGTGGTTCCTTACCCAATGCATCCTTACCAAGTGGTTCCTTACAGTGCGGAAAACAGCAGGACTTCTGGGGAGTGCCGCGCACTGCCGTGCTGATGCTGCGGCCTTCCGACCTCTGGCTCGGGTCGGACGGTAGGGGAAACATGATCGGACATCTTGGCTTAGCGTGTCGCGCCGCCGGTTCTGGCCTACCACGCTTGGTCGCGACACGCTGTGCACGCCCCGGTCCCCCAGCTTCAACGTCCCGAGCTTTTCGAAGCCTCCCGCCCCACGGAGCGGAGCGACATGCGCTCTCAGGGCATCACGTTCCGACGGGGGGCCGCCACCGCGACACGCTGAGCAAAAGTTCCTAGCCGTACGCCTTATCCCCGCCCAGCAGATCTCGTACCCCCCGCCCTGCCCTTCTCCGATCGGGAAAAGGGCGGGGTACGGACGAAATCTGCTGCGTGCTGCTGGTGTTTAGGCACCGCCGGCGTGCGCTTTCCGGGTTATCAATACTGGCACTTCAGACGCCAGGAGCGTGCGGGGAGGTGTGCTGCGTGAGCTGATTCAGTCCCCCTTCCGTTTGCCTTCCCAGAGATGCCAGACGTCATGATAATGATATGCGTTCCAGGATTTTCCAGGTTTCCTGGGCGTCCTGTTGCTCCGCCTGTGCTCCAGAAGCGAGGGCCGCTGGAGGTACTCTGGAGCTCCTGGAGTGTGTCCTGAGCCAGCGAGATCATGGCTTCATTCCTCTCCGATCCCTCCCGTCTGTGCTCGGCGGCGAGCCCCGGGGGAAAAGGGAGAAGGAGAAGGCCTTCGGAGAAGGCTCGGAAGACCCTTGGCCTTCTGAGAACTTTGCTAAGCCTTCCCCGAAGACGCCGACAATTTCTCAGAAGGCGCGAGGGTTTCTGAGAGAAGTCCGACCGTCGCTGATGTGCGGGTGACCTCTCCCGTTGCCCTTTGGAGATATTCAAAATAGTCCAAAATGGGGACGGTTCTTCTATTATTTTAATTTCGACCATTGCTGAACATGTTCGACTATTTTTTATGTTTCTTCCAAAATCCGCCTGCAGGAGGACGTGCCCGACCTGAGCTTAGCCTTCTCTGGCACGTGGCCTGGGTCGCGTTCGCGTGCAGCCCGCCTTGCGCTCTCCCTTGCTGCTGCTGTTGTTATTGTTGGTGATGGTGCTGGTGCTGGTGTTGGTGGTGTTATTGGTGGTGGTGTTGTGGCGGATGTTGCAGTTGTTGGTGTTGGGGCTGGTGTTGTTGTTGCTGTTGTTGCTGTTGCTGCTGCTGCTGTTGCTGCTGCTGTTGTTTGTTGGTGGTGGTGTTGGTGTTGGTGTTGGTGTTGTTGCTGCTGCTGCTGCCGCTGTAGTTGCTGTTGTTGCTGTTGTTGGTGTTGCTGGTGTTGGTGTTGCTACTGTTGTTGTAGCTGTTGTTGTTGGCGTTGTTGTTGTGGTCGTTGTTGTCGTTGTTGATGTTGTTGCTGATGATGCTGTTGCAGTTGCCGCTGTTGCTGTTGACGTTGGTAAGAAAACTGCTGCAACAAGATGGGGCCGAGGTGCTCTGGCCGTGTTTTTCGCGATGCTGTTTTTTTGAGGCTCGCTTCAGGGTTAAACGATCTGGGATGGAAGGCCCGCCCTCCAGGCGGGTGGGGACTGGGAGACCTGCGGGGGCCAGGTAGTGAAAGGCGCATGACGTCGGAGATCTGAGAGGCTCGCTATGCTCACCATCGGCCTCGCCCGCTATCGTGAGCTCGACGTGTGGCTAGGTGCACTTCGTAGGCCCAGGCGTCCCGCACGTGTGGCTAGGTGTTCGGCGTAGTTCCAGGTATCCTGAACGTGTGGACCCATACGTCGGATGCCTTGATCCTGGTAATGCGGGGCCCCCCGAAGTCGGGACCCTTTCGCTAGCTCCTGCTTCTCATCTTGAATCTTTGTTTGACGGCCCTGGGGCCTGAGGCCGACCAGCACTGAGCAACATCTGTTTTGGCTCACGAGACGGCCGAGCATATCCGAGACATCGGTAGCTTCAGGCCGGCGGCGTCGGTCTGGCAGCCTAGCCGGCCCAGGGATGCAGACGAGCAGGTCTCGCGGAAGCAAAAACGCCATACACATAACATTTTGGCGCTCTGGATCCAAGAAATCCGCGCGGTTCGCCAAAAGTGTATGTTTTTGGCGCTCTCTTTTCTTTTCTAAGGTCCCAGCCACGCTGCCACTCGCCTCTGCGAGCAGAACGTTGGATGCTCGCTGCCGCCACCTGGGCACCTCGGAATCATTACTCAGGGCCAGCGGGGCCCCCCGCACTGCCCTGCGATGGCGGCGTCGTGGCTGCTTCCGGCGGTTGCCCCGCTTTTGTTCCTTCGGCTTCCGCGCGCGCGAGACAGATTTAGCGTCAAGTCGGGCATGCCCCACTCTACAGGAGGAGTGTTCAAGAACAGACAAAAATTAGTCTGGAGACGACTTTTCTATTACTTTTGATTTGTTAGCGCATTTTGTTTGTGACCATTTGTGATTTGTCTTGCAACGTCTGCCTGTAGGAGGACATGCCCGACCTAACGTTATCGCATGCTTGCCACTCCGACTTCACAGCTCTCAGGGCATTGCCTTGGAGGACTGATCTGTACACGTGACGCAGCCAGCGGGGGCGAGCGCTGAATGCCCACATGGCCGCATGTCTTTCCCGCGCCAGGCTCTTTTGTGGCCGGGCTCGCAGGGCTCCCGCAGATGTATCCAGCGCGTGGCCTGCGGATGGTCCGCATGCGATGCCAGCAATGTGTGCGTCCAGCTTCCTGGTGGCACTCCGACTTCATGGCTCACAGGGCATGGCCAATCACGCCTGCAGTGCGCACGGGGCGCGGCCTTCGTTCACCAGACGGGGGTTTTAAGCTGGGGGCGCACCAGGCCTTCAGATCGGCATCACCTAAACTTATTCATACTCTGCGTGTGTCTCTCCCCCGCAGTGGCGACGCGCGCGCTCAGAAATCTTGAAGTACAGGCTCGGTGGTGGGCTCTGCTGGCCATACCGCTCGGGCAACGATTTGCCATAAGATGTCTGTACTGTATGTTCTGGTCGGACGTGCGCCTGCGAGGAGCGCACATAGCACGAGTATTAAGTCGGGCATGCCCCTCCACTGGAGGAACATTGAAGAATGGTGCAAAATAGTCTGGGGGCGATGTCTCGTGCTCTTCTGATGTTTTTCCCAACCATCCTGTGGTGTTGGGTCCTCGTTTTGAAAAGACAGTGCCCCGCGTTCCTTCTCTCCGTTCCTCTCCTCTCGTCTCCTCCTCCCCCTCCTCCCCCCCTCCTCGCTTCTGCTCTTCGCATGTCTCTGTTTCGCAGCACCCCTCACACGTTTCGCGGCCCCATGGGGATTTCCACCGAAGGCCCCAGTGGCAGGATTCGCATGGCGGCCCCGCCCCATTTCGGCGTACCCTCACAAGGATCGTGGCAAGGTTCGCATGGCGGCCCCGCCGCGTTTCGGCACACCCCTCACACGTTTCGCGGCCCCATGGGGAGCTCCACCGAAGGCCCCAGTGGCAGGGTTCGCATGGCGGCCCCGCCCCATTTCGGCGCGCCCCTCACACGTTTCGTGGCCCCATTGGGAGCTCCACCGAAGGCCTCAGTGGCAGGGTTCGCATGGCGGTCCCGCCGCATTTCGGCACACCCCTCATACGTTTCGCGGCCCCATGGGAGCTCCGCCGAACGCATGGCGGCCCTGCCCCACTTCGGCACAGTCCTCACACGTTTCGTGGCCCCATAGGGAGCTCCACCGAAGATCCCAGTAGCAGGGTTCGCATGGCGGCCCCGCCCAATTTCGGTGCACCCCTCACACGCGTCGCGGCCCCATGGGGAGCTCCACCGAAGACCCCAGTGGCAGGGTTCGCATGGCGGCCCCGCACAATTTCGGTGCACCCCTGCACGCGTCGTGGCCCCATAGGGAGCTCCACCGAAGGCACAGTGGCAGGGTTCGCATGGCGGCCCCGCCCCATTTCGGCGCACCACCCTCACGTTTCGTGGCCCCATTGGGAGCTCCACCGAAGGCCGCAGTGGCAGGGTTCGCATGGCGGCCCCGCCGCATTTCGGCACACCCCTCACACGTTGGCCCCATAGGAGAGCTCCACTGCAGGCCTCATCGGCAGGGCTCGCATGGTGGCGTCGCTTCAATTTCGGCACACCCCTTACACGCCTCGCGGCCCCATATAGAGCTCCACCGAGCGCCCCAGTGGCAGGGTGCGTATGCATTCCTCTGCCTATTTTGACACCCCCCTCACATGTGTTGTGGCCCATATGGAGCCCCGCCGAAGGCCCCAGGGGCAGCGCCCGCATGCGTCCCCCAGCCCACTTCGGCACACCCCGCACACGTTTCGGGGTCCCCATCCACGTTGCCCCCTGCTCCATCCTTCTCTCGGCGCGCTGCTTGTGATGAGAAGGTGGTATCCTTCGTTATTCGCAGCTACACCTGGTTGGGCCCTTCGCCAGGCTAGTTGTTCTTGTTTGCGTATGTCTAATGCTTTCTTTCAAGATCCGCCTGTCGGAGGACATGTCCTACCTGACACTCGTATGTTCTTCTGCGCCCCGCCAGAAGGTCTCGCTGCCTCCAAGACGGGCAGGGCAGGGAGAAGGCACGCCGAGGCACGCAGAGGGATGCGGGGGGGGGGGGGGGGGCGCCGCGGGCGGGGCGCGGCGCTCCGGCGCAGGCGCCGCTGGACCCCGACACGTGGCTCTCCAAGCGGCTCTCGGAGGCGAGGAGGGGTCAGGGGCGGCCGAACCGACCCCTGTCAGACCGTCGGAGGATGCAAAGATCCCGGGCCCACACCTCTGCCCTTTCCTCGTTCTCCCCCTTTCGGGCCTCCTCCGAGGCCCTCGTCGCCGCCGTCGGCTTCGCCTCGCAACTCTGGTCAGAACGCATCCCGGGGGAGGTCCGGGGAGTAGCGGTTTCGGTGCTCCAGATTTCGTAATAAAAGGGAGGGGGTCTGGACCCTCCAAGACAAGCCATTTCAGACCTCCCCAGTGGGAGAACCCTCCAAAACATCGTCCCCAGACCCCCCAAGCCCTCCAAGATAGCCTGGAAGAGACCCCCCCCGAGATGAGACCCCCCTCCCTTTATTACGAAATCTGGAGTACCTCAGGTCGGGGGCGGCCTGACCGACCCCCGGCAAACCACCCTCTTCTGTGACGCCCCCCTCGTCTCGCCCCAAGACGTGTGCACCCGAAGAAGAGAGCGCCACCAGCATGCATGTTTGGCGCTCCGCACGCATTTCTTGGATTCGGGTTGGCCCCCCCGGCGGCGCCTCCAGCGGGGGGGGGGGGACGGATCGCTCCCCGAGCGAGCGGCGCGGCCAGTCCCGACGCACACACACGCACACACAATCACACACACACACACACACACGCACGCACACACACGCACGCACACACACACGCACGCACACACAATCACACACACACACAATCACACACACACACACACACACACACACACACACGCGCACGCACGCACGCACGCACGGGTTTCTTGGTTTCGGGCTGGCCCCCCCTGCGCCGCCCCTGGCACGTTCCGCGCGTTGTCAATGCGGGGTCCCCCGAAGTCCGGACCCTTTCGCTGGGGCTGTCTTCTCATATCTTGAATCTTTGTTTCATGGCCCCGGGGCCTGAGGCCGACCAGCACTGAGCAACATCTGTTTTGATCTGTTCGAAGACGTTGGACGCCCGGGGCTCACGAGACGGCCGAGCATATCCGAGACATCGGTAGCTTCAGGCCCGCGGCGTCGGTCTGGCAGCCGAGCCGGCCAGGGGATGCAGACGAGCAGGTCTCGCAGAAGAAAAAACGCCATACACAAACTTTTGGCGCTCCGCGCGGATTTCTTGGATTCGCGCCTGGGCTCCACGGCGGCGCCGGGGGCGCCGCCCCTTGCGCGTTCCGCCGCGCGCCAGGGAGATGGGGAGCTTGAGAGGCGAGTGTGACGCCCGGGCCGGGCCACGTATGTATGCGGCCAGAGGGAAGCTTGAGAGGCGAGTGTGACGCCGCGGAAGGGGATGCTCTCGCGGGGGTCGGTCAAACTGCGCCCGAAGGGCGAGGCGGCCTTGGCAGGCTCCCTGCGATGGCGAGGGACCAGGGCAGGGATCGGGGAACAAACAATTCGTTCAGGGGATCGACTACAGAATAAACTGAATCTCCTCGTCGGATCCACGAGACAATGCGCAGAAATGCTCGTAGATCCACGAATATCCTACGTAGTTTCTGTCGTCGATTCGACGACAATTTTAATTTTGGGGTGAATCAATTCTGTAGTCGATCCCCGACTCGAACAATGGCATAAACATAGTCTTTCGGATCGGCGGTGGAGCTCCCTTGCGGCGACTCCGGCGCCGCCCCAGGCGCGCTCCGCGCGCCAGGGAGGGTGGTCCAGCACCGATCCAAGAAATCAGCAAGGACATCCGAGTTGTCGCAGTTGCTCGTTACTCGGACGGAGGATGATGATGGGGCATGAATTCGCCACCACCAAGGCTGCCACGGGCCTGGTGCAGGCACTTGCCAGGTCTTGCCGGACGTTGTCGATCGGCGAGTTCAGGTCGACCAGTGTGTCCCGAATTGTGCTCGTGGAGGTCTTTCCCCTGTTCGGCAATCTCCATGACCCAGTTCGATCCGATCGATCCGACTCGATCAGTTCCATTTGGATTCCCAGCGAGGTGCCCCTCCGCGCCCTGGCCCTCTTGGGCCGTCCATCCACGCGGGATGTTCGACTTATGTTCTCGGCAGCCATCGTGCAAGCCCTGTCGGCTCAGGATAAGAGTGTTCCCCTCTCTCCGCATCTGCCACTCTCCTGGCTCTCTTGTCCTCTCTCTCTCTCTCTCTTGCTGTGTCCACTCTCTCGATGTATGTAAATAGACATATACTTACAAACATGTATACATATCCATCCTCCTCACCTCCATATTGTCATTATCATTTTATGTTATTCTCTCTGTAAATATCTATGTATAGATCTGCATATTCGTCCCTTGTTTCATCTCTCTCCCTCTCCTGTTTGTTTCCTGTCTCTTCTCTCTCTCTCTCTCTTTCTCTCGCTCGCTCTCTCTCTCTCTCTCTCTCTGTAGATGTGTGAATATCCATATCCATATCTTTATCTATATATGTATATATATGTATGTAAATATCCATACCCCCTCTAACCTCATAATTCCTTGCTCTCTCGCTCTCTCCCTTTCTCTCTCTCTCTCTCTCCCTCTCTCTCTTTTTATATATACGCATGTAGAGCGCGGTATCGCTGTGCCTCTCTCTCTCTCTCTCGCTCGCTCTCTCTCTCTCTCTCTCTCTCTCTTTCTTTCCATGTAGTTCGTTTTCTCTTTTCTTTGTTCTCTCTCTCTCTCTCTCTCTGTCTCTCTCTCTCTCTCTCTCTCTTTGTCTCTCTCTTTCTCTGTCGTTGTGTCTGTCCATCTCTCTCTCTCTTTCCTTATCTATGTCTTTGTCTCTCTCTTTCTCTCTCACTCCCTCGTTCTCTCTCGCTCTCTCGCTCTGTCCTTTTCGTTGCCGTGTGGCGCTCCCCCTTGTTTACCATGAAAGGGCTCATCGCTCATCGATGAATTCAAGTGTTTGCGATGGCCCAAGAACAAAGAAATACCGGCCGGGTCGAATGTGTTCCCGCCAGCCCATCCAGAATCGATTCCAAGCCGAGTTGCGATTCCAAGCCGAGTTGCGCACGTACTTGGCATTGGTAGAGCATGCTTCGGGATGTCGGATTGGACTAACTTCGAGGGTAGGGGGATGTATGTACATTTCAGATGTATATACAGATGTAACATCTATATATACATATATACACATTTGTGTATCTATATACATATATATCGAAGAATATATAGACACATGTGTGTATTATATGTATATATATGTATATATATATATATATATATATCGAAGACGCCTACGGCGATTCACCGTCGCTCCCTGCCTCTTGGAATCGCCCATGTGGAGGAGCGTTGTGGCAAGAGCTCTGCCAAGCTATCGGACCATTCGTTCCCCCAGCCTTTTTGGAAACCCATCGGGGAACACTTGGGGGAGGATGGCGGGGAAGATCAGGAGGAGGAGGAGGAGGAGGAGGAGGAGGAGGAGGAAGAAGAAACTTATCCTGGCGAAGGACCCAACCATTTGCAAACGTGAATACCGCAGGGCAGGTGGGACGAAGCAAAAGGAATTCCCAATGTGGCCACGAACCGTGTGAGGGGTGCGCCACACTGGGGCGGGGCCGCCATGCGAACCCTGCCACTGAGGCCTTCGGTGGAGCTCCCTATGTCCCTGCGGGGCCACGAACCGTGTGAGGGGTGCGCCAATATGGGGCGGGGCCGCCATGCGAACCCTGCCACTGGGGCCTTCGGTGGAGCTCACTATGGGGCCACGAACCGTGTGAGGGGTGCGCCAAAATGAGGCGGGGCCGCCATGCGAACCCTGCCCCTGGGGCCTTCGGTGGAGCTCCCTATGGGGCCACGAACCGTGTGAGGGGTGCGCCAAAATGAGGCGGGGCCGCCATGCGAACCCTGCCACTGGGGCCTTCGGTGGAGCTCCCTATGGGGCGACGAACCGTGTGAGGGGTGCGCGAAAATGAGGCGGGGCCGCCATGCGAACCCTGCCACTGGGGCCTTCGGTGGAGCTCCCTATGGGGCCACGAACCGTGTGAGGGGTGCGCCAAAATGGGGCGGGGCCGCCATGCGAACCCTGCCACTGGGGCCTTCGGTGGAGCTCCCTATGGGGCCACGAACCGTGTGAGGGGTGCGCCAAAATGGGGCGGGGCCGCCATGCGAACCCTGCCACTGGGGCCTTCGGTGGAGCTCCCTATGGGGCCACGAACCGTGTGAGGGGTGCGCCAAATGAGGCGGGGCCGCCATGCGAACCCTGCCACTGGGGCCTTCGGTGGAGCTCCCTATGGGGCCACGAACCGTGTGAGGGGTGCGCCAAAATGAGGCGGGGCCGCCATGCGAACCCTGCCACTGGGGCCTTCGGTGGAGCTCCCTATGGGGCCACGAACCGTGTGAGGGGTGCGCCAAAATGAGGCGGGGCCGCCATGCGAACCCTGCCACTGAAGCCTTCGTGGAGCTCCCTATGGGGCCACGAACCGTGTGAGGGGTGCGCCAAAATGGGGCGGGGCCGCCATGCGAACCCTGCCACTGGGGCCTTCGGTGGAGCTCCCTATGGGGCCACGAACCGTGTGAGGGGTGCGCCAAAATGAGGCGGGGCCTCCATGCGAACCCTGCCACTGGGGCCTTCGGTGGAGCTCCCTATGGGGCCACGAACCGTGTGAGGGGTGCGCGAAAATGAGGCGGGGCCGCCATGCGAACCCTGCCACTGGGGCCTTCGGTGGAGCTCCCTATGGGGTCACGAACCGTGTGAGGGGTGCGCCAAAATGGGGCGGGGCCGCCATGCGAACCCTGCCACTGGGGCCTTCGGTGGAGCTCCCTATGGGGCCACGAACCGTGTGAGGGGTGCGCCAAAATGGGGCGGGGCCGCCATGCGAACCCTGCCACTGGGGGCTTCGGTGGAGCTCCCTACGGGGCCACGAACCGTGTGATGGGTGTGCCGAAATAGAGGCATGCGGAGGGTGATGGTGATGATGACGACCATGTTGGTGCTGATGATGATGACGATGACGATGACGATGATGATGATGATGATGATGATGAGATGATGATGGAGGGAGGAGGGAGGAGGGGAGGGAGGAGGAGGAAGGAGGAAGGAACGCGGGGCACC